GATTTTGGTGAAACAAGGAATATGAACTTATTTCTAAAAGATGGTACACAAATGACAACTTACTAAATAGAAAGAATTACTTGTAACTATGAAGAAACTGATACAAATATTTTCCCTTTTTGATCTCTCTATACTCCATATAGTTGATGATAAAAAAATACTAGATACCTATTAACATTTGTTTTGAAATTACTTTCCAGGTGGTATCTGTCAATATCTCGAAGATGTGTTATGATTACTTGCATCTTTTACATTATTCAGACTGTTATCTTCATCTTCCTTGCTATATTCACGACGTTTCGGCAGTTGTACGCTCAGGCATGCTTCAGGTGATTGGAGACATCTCGAAGAGACATGACAGGTGGAGCTAGAAGAATATACCCCGGTGGTCGAAATAAGGGGTTCGGTCCGAAATTCCCAGGTGATGCTTAACGAAACAAATTATTTTGACAATGTATTTCTAAATATACATTTTTTCAGGAAAACGTATATTATTTTAATTTGTAAACAAACAAAAAATAAATAAATCATAAAAAATGAAGCAATATTCTGAAACTTATCTCTGACCGCGGTGATAATAACCAATTTTAATGAATAATAGCCTCCAAACATTTGGTATCGTTTCCAAGAAAATTTCATCACTTAACCTTAGGAATCGCAATCATTCTTCTTTGGCAAGTCTTTCATGATCCACCAGAGTGTATGAGCACTAGCCTTCCGTTTTTCCCAGAGATGTTATATAGAAATTAAGTCTATGATATTCCTTTGCAGATCTGGTCGTAATTCTCAAGCGAAGTGATTTGGTCATCATGTCATAGTCATTTTAGAAAACAAAAGACGACCAGACAAAATTTTGTTACTGCTTTAGGTTTCATTTCAAAATATATTCACATTCTTTTTCATCATTCTTGATTTCCGGGTGCACTGACGTCTTCTTCCAGAACTATATTCAACCTCCATATTTCACTCCTGTGATGGGGTCCTTTATTTATAAGGCTCTCATTTTTCTATTTCATCATAGACAAAATTGATTTAATTTCGCTTCCACTAACTAAAAGACATATATCTATATATGCCTAGTTTCGTATTATCCAACGTTCATATTTTGGTCTGTTCTGTTATTTCACTTATCAGATTCATTAGTGAATATTGATATTGAAAAACGAGAGTATTTGGAAAATTACACAATTGTTTGTCATTTAAACTGTAAGCAATTACACAGCATTGAAATCTTACCCTTTTTTCAACAATGGACAATTAGATAGCTTTGAAATCATGCCCATATTTAATACAAAACAATTAAATATCATTGAATGCTGGCCTGGTGTGCGTTAAATAAACAATTGCTCTGTATTCAAAATGTCTGTAAGTTACTTTACAGCAAGCATTTTGTCGCCTACCAGAATTGATCCTCTTACTTGAAGTAAAAATTAAACTGAAACTTCTTATTGACCAGAGTAAACAATTACGTTTACAGATATTTGTCTTGTCCGTATTTAATATAGTAAACAATTTCAGTTTTAAAATATGCATCGTCTAGATTTATTGTATATAATATACAATAGTGGCACGAGGCCAAAAACGTTGGGGGGAATGGACTGAGGCTGGTCATCACTTACTATCTTATACGTAGTTAATCAGTTTCAAGACTCATTCATTTATTACAATTTGCACATCCACCAGAAGAACTTATCCATCATCATTCAATCCTACATATACCAGAATGGCCATACTCTCAGGGGACTTAAAAAAAAACACACCATGATATGAAAATTAACGATGAAAAAAATTCAATAAACAAAAATCAGTGGATGATACGTAATGAGGGGGAAGGAGTGAACCGAAAAACAAACCAAAATATCAAATCTAATACACAAAATAAAATGATAACTGATTTTAGTCAAACCCTCGAAAGAATTCAGAGAGGCCGTTATATTCTATCTTTAGACAAAACTAGCAGCATGCCCCGGCGTTGCCCGTGCTTGATTCAAAAACCGTACACCTCATACAGCAATCGCTATCACTTGACTTAAAATATTTTTGCCCTTCCTTGCCTTTAAAGGAGTGCCTTTTACCGTGATGATGTTGCTACATGCCTTACTTCTTGCCTATCTCACACTGCAAATTTTGTCTAAGCTCTATACTAAACAGTAAATCTGTTACGAAAAATGAACTAAACAAAATGAACACTAAACGATCAGCTTTAAAAAAGGACTCGTAACTGGAAAACCCGAATGAAAAAAGAATGTTAAAAAAAAGCGAATTTAAGCAAGCGAATGAGCCTATTGGAGTAAAGTGCCATGTAGATTTAAATTTTTCCCACTTGTGACGAATGCAGCAATCGATTTTTTTTTGCACGCTAGCATGCTAGTTAACATTCGTGTCAGTCAGCTGTTTGCTCTCACGCTGGCCAATAGAATCTTTCTGCCTATTCGTGGCAGCCAGCTATAAGCCCTCACTCTGGCAAGAACAAAATGGCCGCAAACTACATGAAAACTGCCGTAGAAGCATGAAAAAATCAATTATTTTCACTATCGATGGGAGTTTCGAAATGTAAAGTCGTTCTCGGCCTTCCTGCTAACTTGGAGCATGTGCATGTAAATTGTGGTGCAAATCTTCGAAAATTGCGGCCGTGCATTCGTTACACACACACACACACACACACACACACACACACACACACACACACACACACACACACACACATCCTGCCTTTTATAGATAAAGATCAAGAGGTTTTCTCACTAAAGGAAAGGAAAAGGATAAAATATGCATTGTCTTTATTACGTCAAATGGATTTAAATTGCAGTTTATGATTATTTTTTATAGTAAATAATTAGATACAGATAAATGTATTCTTTCTAATTCATTTAAACCAAAATATTTCTCTATAATGTCGAAAATATTCGTGTAAAGTAAAAAGATTTGATGATTCTCTATGTAGTGTAGTGATTTTCAGCGCCTAATTTGCAAGCAACAATGTCGAGTTCAAATTACGGCTAAGCTATGTTTTTTTTACTATTGCACAAATTTACTTGTGAAATATATAAATCTCTTCTACTACAAACTATGTTCTAAATAGCAGTTCGAAGTAGTCTCTCTAGTTATGATTGACAACCAATCTGGAAGAAAGAAAACATTAATTCGAATCCTGTCGTGTATGAGGCTGACACTAAACGTCTATATACTAAAAGAAACACCTAGTGTGATGAGTCTATTCCCTATATTCCAGGTGAGTCTAGGTGTTTTACGGACGAATGAGAGTGAAGAAAAAGAGGAAGGGAGACCGAGACAGAATTCTAAATTTGATCTTCTAAATATATTCTATTTTGTCACCTTCACTTTGCTATTTTCGTGGACTGTTCGACACAATTGTTCTTTTCAAGATCCCCTTAGTGGAAATGGTGGTAATCAAGACAGACTGGCATTTCATTTGTTTAATAACTACATGACGTAAACTCAAATTATAATTTTTCGTTGATGATCATTATCAAGTGGTTGTTTGAGAGTATTATTTATTTTTCTGCTGATTATCTTCAAGAGAATTAATAAAATGATCATGAAAGTGACTCAAATACATAGCGATAAGAAAGCTGAAATCGAAATAAAAAAAGAAATATTCAAAATTTACCTCCTTGAATAAGAATACCGTAAATATCTATAAATACATATGTGAGCAAAAATAAAATTTATAATTTGGATGCGTGCCAATGGCGTCGAGTAACACTTAGAGAATAATTACGAAGCTGAAATCATTTTAAAGGATGTAGAAGTAGGTGTTCCTTGATTAATATTCAAATTGCATTTATGATATTTTCTTTCAAATTTTAACAAGTTATCATAAAATAAAACATATTAATATAGGTTAATTAGTGTCAGTTGATGTGATAGATGATTTATTATTTGAAATTGAACGAATGAAAAGCAATATGATGAAACAGAAATATGAGGTAAAATACGACTAACAATGCTTGAAATGCTTTTGAAGAGCGTTGCAAAGAGAGACGAGAAGTGAAGAAACGGAAAATCAGTGAAACTATTGAAACATGCATATGCGTATGAGAGTACGAAATGTTCAAGGATATTGTATTCATTCATCTGCAGACAATGCCAATTTGGATTAACATTATGGTAAATCATTAGAAATTTAACATTTATTGGAATCAAGCAAACGAGTCAAAGAAAACATTACTTTTATGTTATCTACTGAAATTACTATAAAAAAAAACCAAGAGAATCAAATAGAAGATTATATTCAGTTGTGGAACCAGTAAAAAGAATGAAGTACGAAATAGATACAACGTATTGAGTGCCTAAATATATCGTTGCAAAAATTAAACTTCCCTGTACGAAACAAGAAAACTATGAAAATATTTCACACCATCTATTACTTTAATGAAAGCGAAGAAACTCTTTCATTGTTGCATAATATTTTGCGTCAGCGAAGTTCAGAAACAATTTTTATCCTCCATATTTGTTTGGTTTCAAAGTCCAAACAAAAATGATATAATTTTCTAAACAGGGCTCGCTGGAAGTTGAAGCTATTGTCCATATAACAGTGACTGCTGTGGTTGCTATTTAAATTGTTATGAAAGGGCAATATTTCCAATGTTGATTAAAAATTTAAGCAACTCTTTTACAATTGCATTATTCTTGCATCAAACTCTTTATAAATTTTAGCAGAGAAAGTTAAAATTATGTTGTTGAAAATCGGTTGTATTATATAACATACATGTGCTGCTATCAATCTATCTATCGCAATTTATTCATTATCTATCAATCTATCTCAAGTTATTCATTATATATCTATCAATCTATCTCAATTTATTCATTATCTATCTGTCTATCTCAATTTTTTCATTATCTCTGTATTTGTCAGACAGACTGTCTCAATAAATTCATTATCTATCTATCTATTTATCTAAGTCTTTTTTATCTATCTTAATCTTTTCATTATCTATCACAATTTATTCTATCTATCTAAATTTATTCATTATCAGTCAATCAATCTATATATCTATCTATCTATCTATCTATCTATCTATCTATCTATCTATCTCAATTTAATCTATCTATCTATCTATCTATCTATCTATCTATCTATCTATCTATCTATCTATCTATCTAAGTCTTTTTTATCTATCTCAGTCTTTTCATTATCTATCTATCTATCTATCTATCTATCTATCACAATCTATCTATCTATCTATCTATCTATCTATCTATCTATCTATCACAGTGCTTTTGAATCGTTCATTCTGTATTTCCTGCTATACTACTATCTTGACTGCTTTATTTATCTCGCAATGTATTGAATGCTTCAAAACATTAATTACACGTTTGCTAACTTCGTCTTGCCTCAAACGCTGTTAAACTTTTTTTCCTTTTATCATGATGATTGTACGAATTCCTGTATGACGAATACTTTTCCAAACTGCACTCAGTTTTCCGAAACATATCAAATTGAAGAAAATTTAATTTATTTCATTCCACTTAAATTTGCCTTCCATTTCTTCCAACCGATTTCAATCGGTTCGTACGCGCACTCCCTAATTATATATTCAAGTTGGAAGTATTCTTATTTTGTCGATTTCCGCTCTCATAATTTATGTGAATGGATTCATTTCCAGGCGAAGCCTTATCAACCAAAGATGGAAAACCATGCCGCCAAACCATTCTGTTCTCTAAAGTAGCAAAACCATCGATAGACTGAAAGAAGACTCTATGTGTATGTGCGACTAATATGAAATTTAAGGGGGGAATTCAGCAACTGATCTGTTTTCTCATATGTTGAAATAGGCGAATCCATTTTAAAAACATTTTATATGACACACGTAATTATTACTAAGTTTATATGTTGTAAATTAGAAGACTTTTTTTCTGTCGGTACAATATTTTTCTCCCTATTAGATGCGCGCGAAATAAAGTTTCATTAGACACTTATTATTCACAGCTTCCCTTTGATAATTTTGACTGAATCTAAAATTAATTGTCTATGTTTAATTATTAATAAACTATTAAGCGACGATCTTATATTTTATATTGACAAGAGATAGAGTAAAAAGCTATCAACATCCAATTTAAGTGTAATGGAGAGATAATCTTCTTTTGACGGTAGGAAATCAAAAAAAGCCTAAGTTTCAAGCTGATATGTTTCTAAATGATAGGGAAGAAATTAAAGTATTCTAATTTATTTGATGTTTGGTGACCGTTATCACTAGTGTGATAATGTCCAGGGTATGACGATAAACTACATCCGGCAGCGAGGTCTCTGATTTATGTTATATGCATTAATTTCAACTATTTATTATTATTAATAACTTCATTGTTTTTTTTTTCAGAAACTATAACATCTGACAATTAAAAGAAATCTTCAAATATAACAAATAGCGTCTTCTGTTAAAAAATGGTCAAAATTTGGCATCGTCGTGTTGTCCAATACCTACGGAAAATATTGAGTCCCCAAAGACATTTATTAGAGTATTACGACCCAGCTTTATCAAACAGTGCAAACGGGGGCACCTGAATTTAGGAGAGGAAGAAATAGTTTGAAGATTAAACAATGTATGGACGTCCGACAACAGCTACCATCAAGGAAAACATTGATCATGTTCACCACTTGGTGATGGATGACAAGAGATTGACTATAAATCAAATATTCAATACTATTAGCATATCCACTAAGAAAATTGAGAATATTCTGCAGAATTAACTTGGCATGACGAAGGATTCTGCGTGTTATGTTCCACATCTGACATCTGATAAAATCTCACAGGCTGATTACATCACGAAAAAAAAAAACTTACAATGTTTGAAGCAGATCGAACAGGCTTCATTATATTTACTGCCTCCATCATCATCTATGATTTCTTTTCACTAATAATCCAATACCCTTCAAATGTAAGAGGAATAAACAGAATTCACTGTTTTTATCAGCATGGTCAAATTACGTCACTTAACTTCGAACGAACCTCGCTATGGACCGATAGATGGAGTTCCCAAAAAGCAGTATAAAATGAATATCTTCACATAATTTATTCGATTATGGAGCCTTAATAGTCGAATATTCAACCCGAGCATATTGATCTATGAGATGAACTGAATGACCAGGATTTTTCTCTCTTTGTCTCTCTCTCTCTCTCTCTATCTATCTATCTATCTATCTCGCACACATATTTTAGTGCGTCTATATGCTGTGGAAACATTACCAGTTACTCTTTAAACTGCGATTAACTCGGATTATTAAAAGCTGATAGCAAATTTCAATTGTGTGTATATAAAAGCGTTTCACATTTACAAAATCATATTGTCGTTATGTGTTCAGTAGTCCCTATAGAATTCTTGTCAGACAAACTAATTCGGAATAAGGTCTCATTAAAAACTAACGTGCAAATTGTGGTCTGTCTATATTTCTGTGATGAGGTATTATGTACACTATTTACATTATTCGGACTATTGTCCTCATCTTTGTTGCCATATTTATTACAACGTTTCGTCCGTTTTACGCTCTAACCTTCTTCAGTTGGTTGGAATCTCGAACTGAACCTTTTATTTCGCTCACTGCGGTTCTATTTCCATGTGCCATGTTTAATGGATACCAGTTATCAGTTATCGCCTGTAAATTCCCCTCTCCAAGTTCTCCACTGCCATAACCGGGTATTGAACTCACACTCTTTGGGCCCTGTCACTGGATCTAATTAACGCCTTTATCCACTGTGCCATGTGTCCTTGAGGGTTCAGTTCGACATTCCAACCATCTGAAGAAGGCCGGAGCGTACAACGGCCGAAACGTTGTAATAAATATGGCGACAAAGATGAGGACAATAGTTAGAATAATGTAAATAGTGTACATAATACCCCATCTCAGAAATATAGAAACTTACTGAAGAAGGCCGGAGCGTACAACGGTCGAAACGTTGTAATAAATATGGCGATAAAGATGAGGACAATAGTCCGAATAAAGTAAATAGTTTAAAAGGAATAGATATAAACTCTCCTCTTTCACATTTTTTTACGCACGGGATGCCGTAAAGACAATAAATGATAGGCTCCAATAGAAATATTCAGCATATATGCCTGAGAAAACATGTAGATAATAAAATATTTAATCTATATGTTCCAGAAATACGAGATATTTTGACTTTTTTTTTTTACTTAGATTTTAGTAGCTAAGAACAACATCAGTATATGGAGATCTTTCTTTTAGAATGTTGACATTGAAAATACATCATCAAAGAAAGGAGAAACAGTAGGGTAGATGATGCTTGGTGAAACATGTAATAATACTGAAATGACAAAAGCAGAAAAGTAGAGAAACGTAATATATGCAGCTGGCCTGACTGGATGGCAACTAAATTTTCAAAGCAATACGACTATAGGAAAGGTATACGCGGTCCACGTTTCGCAGCCGACCGTTGTGCGCCGCTGGGAAGAGAAATGGCGGGAAATGGGAATTAGAGTCCGCTTAGCGCACAAGCTATGGTTTCAGATTTAATATAGACGCCATTGGAGATCGTGGGACACAGAGCGACATGTGTGGCTTCTCTCCATTTGAAGGCAATGGGCTTGGAAGCATGATATGAGACGTTCCTGCCGCTGATTCTTATATTCATGGCTTTTCAAAATGAAATTTCTGCTTACATTCCTTCCTTTATGTCGTCGTTTTGCGAGTCTTTGTCATTTACTTCAAGTGCAGCTGGTCTGCACCTGGTTACACCGGACCCGGCCTAGTAATTCTTGAATAGATCACGAGGGTAGGGGAATTCTCTCTGAGGTAGATAAAGAAAAGGGTCAAAATGACAGAGAAGAAGCAAAACGTGAGGAGAAGTTACAATGGAAAACGAGGAATTAGCTTTGGGAAGATAGCCACAATCTTTGTTCGAAAGAAATAAATGAAAATAATGGAAAATAAAAAAAAATACCTTTTTTTCATTCAAAAAGAGGAAATACGATAGAGCGGAAAAAAGGAAAAAAAAAGACGAGAAACAAAAGAAAACAAAAAAATCATTTTAATATAAGAGTCTGAAAGGATTCGTTTGTAATGTTGCATTAGAATGCAAACAAGAAAAAAAAACTATATACAATTTAAGATGGTCTGGCACAAGATCAGATGGAAGAAAATAAGGATCATAAAAATCATATTTCACAATGCGAGAATTCTTTGCTGATTTGAAAATGTTGACAGTGCACTTGAAAATTTACCAAATTCATCACCCACACGCACACATATATACCTATGCGCGTGCATAACAGACACACAAAAACACACACATATATATATATATATATACACAGACTATATATATATACACACACACACACACACACATATATATATATATATATATATATATATATAAAAAGTGTGTATATAAATCTGAATATATATATATATATATATATATATATATATATATATATATATATATATATATATATATATATATATATATATATATATATATATATATATATATATATATATATATATATATAATTATTTATATTATATGCGCGGTACTTATTAGAAAGCGCTCAACAATCCAACCAAATATGTTAGACAAACTCACATCAATACAACCAAATATATATATATATATATATATATATATATATATATATATAATGTACATCTCGCCTTTGATGGACTTTACCAAGAATGTAAGGATTATATTTCGGAACAAGTATTTATGAACAAAAGTAAAACTGTCAATTGGTTTTCAGAATTTTAAATTATAAGAACGCTCATAAATCCACATCAGGTTAACTGAAAGTCAAGCTAAATTAGGAAGGATATTAAGTAATGTAATTTAATGTCGAATAGACAAAAGTGAGTGAATGAGAGGAATTTTTTTTCATATTGTATATTATTAAAAAGAGAATGCAGCTCACTTAGACGTAAAATACTTCCGAAAGTCTGAATCAAATCTCAGCAAAATACAAATCGGCGCCTCGGATTTATTCAAATATTCTCCTTTTATGAGGGAAATAATAATTTCTC